CCCAAAGTATTTAATAAGTTTGCCATGAGTTATCTAGTGTTGGTCAAGTTAAATAGGATTTATAGACTGACCAGGAGATAAAAGGCTCTGGTATCAGATTTACTACTGATTAAAGTATTGGTCTCTTAGTTCAAAGACTTATTCTAAAGTTTGAGCCCTGTGATGTGAGGTCAGCAAATATGAACATAGAACTTCTATTGTCTTTATCAAAACTAAGCAAATTAAGTCAAAACACGAAATATAGGTTAATGACCAGGCTAACACCTGTAACCATTTTGTGGTAAATTAACAAAAACATTGTTCAGTGAAGATTAAGAAGTGGTACAACTGCTTTGTTACAACCAAAACAGGCTTATATCTCAAAAGAAAGATCATTGTATTGGAGTACAGTATAACTAAATACACAACTTAAGCGATATTTAGAATGTGAGTTTTAATTCTGTTTCTCAAGAGAAGTTGGTTCTGACAACAAAGTGAGATGGTTAATTACATAGGCAGAAAGATTTCCAACATCTACATGGTACAGGAGACAATTTCATCTCCTTTCTGTAGAGAATATCCTGTTAGTTTCATATCTTTATTTCTATAATGACAGTGACTCATCTACTAGGATAGATACATTTTTCAGCCATAGGTTTGTAGGCAAGTTATTGAATTTTTTAAGGCTTATTTCTTCATTTGGAAAATGAAGATGGTCATTGTTACTCCAGAGTTTTGGTGCAATGTTTAAATATCATAAATAAATATTTACCGGAAATCTTTAGATGTCATAATCAAATAGTAATTGACTGATTTTTGAGATTTGGTAGAAAATGCTTTTTTTGTTTTCTTTTTTAGTACAGGGGCTCAAACTCACAACCTCATGCTTGCCAAGTAGGCACTTACACCACTGAGCTAAACTCCCAGCCCCAAAATTCTTTCTTGTTAATGCTGTTTCATTGAAGTTGAAAAAATTGTTGCCTTCATTTCATGTTTCAAATTATAGACCATAAATTTCATTAAAATAGTTTATTAGCATCAGTAAATGTTGCTTATAGCTTAGATTTTTGAAACTGTAGTTACTGCATTTTAATAATTAAAAGTCAATACCAAGCCATATGCTACTGAATAACAACAACATTTTTTCTGCCAAACATAAACATTTATAAAATACTCGAAGTACTAATTAGTTGCAACGTTGGGCCACTTGCTGACATGTAATTAGGCTAACAAGTGTGTGGCTTTTGAAATTTCCCTTTAACTATCTAAAGTTACCTTGCTATTCTGGAATATTTGTTTTCTTTTTTCTTAAGCCAAAGAATAGGTTTTACAAGGATCTTGTTCAGATTCCCCAACAACACTGTAAGTCTAAAGTGTCTAAAAATTAGGAAGCAGAACCGCCCCCAGCCCTAATAATATTCCTAGATATTTTCACAGCTGACTTTCCAGATCTTCTCATAGTTCCTTCCTTTCCTATGGCTTCTCCCCATTGGTGGGTCTCAGGCACTCCTATGCTGTCCCTAGCTAGCTGGATTCCTAGTCTCCTGTTGCTCCCATTTTTCTTGTGTCAGGTGAGAATCATAAGGAACTCCTGTTATACTCTATACTTGGTGCAGAGAGAACTCTAAATATTAATACATCTTTATAAATGGCTTGAAAGTTTGGATTTATAGTTGTTTTTCTTTTTGTTAATATCTGAATACGTATGTTATATAACTAGAGATGTTGTTTATTTTAACAGGTAAAACCAATAGTGTTTTGGGCTCATATAGATTTAAAAAACATGCTAATATCCAAAGTTAGTTTGAGTTATTACTGAGAAACAGTCCTAACTATTGCTTATTTGATTTAATAACTCTTCTCTTTTGTGAAATAGAAACATACTGGCCATTTGGGTCTAATATACAACCACTAAGGATTGCATAACTGTATAGATTCCATATCAATAATATGTTTTACAGCTATTTAAATTTCAATTATTCCACTAAAACAATTTTTAAAAAAGAAGAACTTTTCAGATAAGTCACATTTCACATGCCATGAAAATACTTCTGTTGCTCTTAGGCAAAGCAGTTTGAAGTCTGAGCTTGAGCAGGGTGTTTTCTTAAGGTGTTTATTTCTTTCTTTCTCTCTCTCTCTCTCTCTCTCTCTCTCTCTCTCTCTCTCTCTCTGTCTCTCTCTCATATGCAAGTAACTGACATAGAGGTACATGCCTGTAATTCCAGATATTCAGGAATCTTAAGCTGGAGAATCCCCATTTAGGGTCAGCCTGTACAACTCAACAATACTTTGCAAAGAGGCAGCCAAATTAATGGAATGCACATAGACTTGGGTCAGGCTGATTCATGGATGGAGTCATGATTCATGAAGTCTCGTCATGAAACCTTCCGCACCAGAGGACAGTGTGTGGCAGTGCTCACCATTACTAAGACACGTCACCATCAGCAGATTTGGCTCCACTGCAGTAAGGATTTACTGAATAGTTCATTTCCACCATTAATTCCTTATTGGGTCACATTCTTAGATTAATTTTTTACAAAGATTTGTGAAGAAAGCTTTAACGCTAGTAGGTCTATGTGCTAATAAACAATCTTGGACTTTTCATGCATGTTACTATCTTACAGAAGAGGATGGGGCAAAGGGTAATATTAATAACAGGAACAAATTACTATGTCCCCAGTATAGGGGGACATATGGGGGGAAAAATAACTTCCTTCTACTCTCTTTAGTTTCATGGCTGGGGCCTATGAATAGAAGTGACAGCAGACCGACAAGAGAAAAACATGTAAATTATATTTAGTATTTTTACATGTACATAAATGCCTTCAGAGGAAAACTAAAGACTCCGAATGGCAATTAGTACCTGAACTTATACACTTTTTAAATGAAAAGTAATAAACTATGGAAAAGTGACAACTGAAAGAAACCAAAGTTTAAGCTTCCAGGGGCAGTAATTTGTATGGGAAATAACTAAGAGAAACAAGGAGAAACCAGTAGACCATAATAACTGTGATTCTGTGGATCTGTTTCAGTGTCAACTTCCAGGATCCACTAATACGAATGTTGTCCTCTTACAAGGAGGCTTCCTGTACATGAAAAATGTTCGGCCTTATGGAAAATGAGAGACTTCTTTATGGATCTGCTGTATCTCAATCATCTTAAACTCAAAATAAACACAAATGCCAAAGTGGCCCATTTTATTGTGGCATCTTGTGAATCTCCTTCATTTTCCCCGACAGAATTTTACCATAAGTTTCTCAAACCTGATTAGATGGCTATGGAGAGAGTAATCAAGTCATTAACTTAGTTGTAAGCTATCTGCAAAAGGAGAGAAGAATGAATGCTAGCAGGAGAATAAATTCTCATAAAGGAATAAATCTAAGCGTATTTCCCCATATTCTATTATCTCCCAACTTTATGGATTATTTCAGTCCAATGAAATGGTAGCATTTCATTTGTCTGAGTGACAGTAGTAACCATTTCTGGTCAGAGGTATAAATTAGACACTTCTTTCTATCTGATACCCATAGAACCAGTGCTTTTCATCAGTGACTGAATAAGCTCCTCTTTACTGGGAAGTTGTGTATCCTGGAAGGGATAATTTTAAAGTAGAATAGAGGTGAACATAATGACTTATAATTGGAGTGCTGCCAACATTTTCACAGTGATATTGAACTCTTAGGATCACTTTGTTCAAGTCATAGTTTCCAAGATTTTGAAAAAGGTCCTCAACGCTGAAAAGAATTGGAGAAACAACCCTCAAGTATCTTCTCTATGCAGTCTTATCTGGTATGTTCATGTGGCATGATTTTATGAATGAAGGAGCCTGAGAAGATAATTTGGTAAGTATATAGGATAGACAATCTAGTAGTGACCAAAGGAGCTAGGTATCTGAGTTTCCACTGCCTTGGCCATTTAAATAGACATTCTTCACATATCTTGTAGCCTCATCAGATATGAAAACCAATAGAAACCAATGTTGTTCAAAGTAAGAGAGAAATCTCCAATTCCTTAGGTCCAACATGCCTCACATTTTGTGTCTGGTCATGTTGGCATTTGCACCCTTCAATATCTATGTGTTCCTGTCAGTCTGCAAAAAAAAAAAAAGCTCATGTTGTGATAATTTTGATATTGGAGGTCTGAAGTCTGCCATGAAACCTGTAAGTGTAAACCTGTAAACCCAACTTACTCTCACCTTTTCATCTCCTGGTGTAAAAACTTTTAAATTAGATACTCTAATAAGAGGAACAGTCGAAGCACTCCATATCTTGCTCACATGGTCTGTGAACCAGCCAAAATATGTGAAGAGTGGATAAAAGTTTTTACCGTAAAAGACAGTGCTGGAATTTATGATTTCTGATCATTTATGATCTCTGTGAAGGGTTTGAGTTACTACTTGAGGAATCAAATCACAGGCTTTAACTCTAGTATTGTCATAGTTTGTTAAAAGGAAGGATCCAGTATCATGACTGAATTCAATACAAAGGAAAAACTTCCTTCTAGTGTCTTTTCTGAGCAAGAAACAGTCCTCAACATTCATAGAGCCTTTTGCCTACCCAGGGATCGCACCAGAAAGAAATGTAGGGAAATATTTTATTTTTGGTCATGGATACTGCAGCATTTCAGTCACTCATCTTCCACAATGAGTCTTCCATGTACTCACATTGGCAGGAATGAAAAATAGTTTAGGCTTTGGCATACAAGCTGATATTGACATATCTAGGAATCGGATTGGTTATCATGCCAGGGAAAACTAGTGTACAGGAATGTCAAATTTGTGTCTACCTTGTTAAGAAAACTAACAGTGATGAGAGAAAGACAAATTTAAAAGAGTTCTACTATGAAAGAACAGAGGCAGAGTAGGATATTGGCAAAGTGATTTCTATGCAGCTTTTCAATAGATGGGGGTGGGGAGGACAAGGATTTCTTTTGAAACATAGACACAAAGCTTGATGATCTGTGATCTTAGCAAAAGCTTTGTGATGTTATATGCTTCTAGAATCTTGGGATTGGCTCTGAGTCTTTACTGTGAGGTTGCTTGTACATTGATTTTCCAGTTCTCTTAAGAATCTGTGGCTTGATGTAGCTCACACGAATCCAGGAGGATTTTTGTTTCTTAATTTTGATGACTGCGTACATGATTAGTAGTACATCGTAAAGTCTCTTCCAACAAGGTAATAGCATATACTTTATCCTAAAAATCTTGATGTATGTTTACTGTTTGGTTGAAACTGATGGCAAGTTGTCAGTCAGTGGAGGCCACACCTCTTGTATTCAATGATGTCCCTCAACCTAGTTATGACACATAACAAGGCACAGGATCACATTTTTGTAACCTAACCCACCACAATATCCACTTTTCCAAGGATGGAAGTTTTAGAGGTGCTAGTTGATACAGGAGCACAAAAACTATTTCAAAAGGTTTTAATTTATTTCTCTTTATTGGAGTTTAAATTATATAAGGGTCAAAAGTAAAATCTGTAGCCATTTAAGTCGTTTCTTGACAAATTTTTCTAATTTTTTTATATTTAGATATTTATATTCTACTTGTCATGATGATTAAAGATGTTATACGCCACAAAGTTTTTAAAAGTAATACAGAATTTTTCTGAGAAAGTGGGCTATTTATGCTGAAAAGTAACTCGTTTTAGTTTGTGTATAAAAGAATGCTAAAATGAACCATAATCTCAGTTACTAATTTCTTTGTCCTTGTCCTGGTGTTAATATGTCTAAAAGGATAGCATATAGTCTACACACTAAATGTATAGATAATAGCCAAGGCTATAAAGTCCTTGTGGGCCATTGTAAGAGCAGTGTGTACCTTAGGATATTCCCTCAGATGTGTAGATTACCTATAGAAACCGGTAAATAATTTAGCAGAAATTTTGCAGATGTTAGTGCAGAACTTTTAGTTTCTTAAAGTCCCCATACTTAAATATATGTCTTATCTGATGAGAGGTAAATGCAAACCAAAAGATAAAAAGCACAATGTATAAATGATTGCCTGACACATTTATGTATGTACTTTTTCCAGATTTCCTGATTGTCAGTAATATCTGTAAAGAATAAAAGCAAGTTTATAAATTGATTGGAGTGCCAGGCGTGGGTGGTACACATCTATATTTCCAACACTCACTTGGGAGGCTGAGGCAGCCCATGTTATATAGTGAGTTCAAGACCAGCCTAGCCTACATAGTGAAACTGTTTCAAAACATTAATAAATACATAAATAATATAAACTGGAGAAAGAATGAAAAAATTTCCTGTTTTCAACTTCATATTTAGCAATCTCTTCAGTTTTTACTTTGGCTTTTGTTGTTCTTAGAGGACATTATCAGTCTCCTTGTATGGACTGATTAATAAATAAATAGCAAATTTAGTAGTAAGGTAAGGAGCCTGTAATAAGGTTTCACCTGTGTTCCCATTAACAGTAGAACTGTTGGCAGATGTTAAGTCTACAGGTTTCCAGGTAAGCATTGTCAGCATGAGAGACTCCAAAGGTGCACTTAGAGTGGTGAAAGTGTGACTATTTCCCTTCAACCAAGTATGCACTCTATTAACAGCTTACATTCACTCCATCATCCAACACACGGATGAGGCTGATATGGTTAAGAGTCCCTATCTTTTGCTCTCTCTGTCATTTGTCACTGCACTTCCTGGAGTAAACAGGGTGACCCCAAAATTGATATCCTATTCTTACTGCCAAACGTAAAGGAAAAGAAAATTAATCTTTCTCTGTTCTTTGAAATTCTGTAGCTTGGGCCTATAATTTGGTAGATTAACAGGAGAAAAGCAAACAAACTTTGTTTAATAGTTTTACATGTAACACAAAGACTAAAGAAGCAATAAACATCAAGAGCTTATATGCATTTTTAAACAAAATAATGAAGAGAAATAATATGACAATGGGAAAAGAATTAAGCCTTTAGAAGGGTTTTGTTAGAACATGATTAAAGACATAACGAAGATAAGGACTATTTTAATAAGGATATTTATACTAACTTTTTTCAGCATTAGCTGTTAGTCTTCAGTCATAAGAGTATTCTTCTTTTCATAGTACAGAGAAAGTACCCTCTACATGAAGAGTATTGTGTTTTGGTGGAGAGTCAGAGAACACTTTCTGTATCTTCTGTTTCTCCATCATCTTTAGTTCAAAATAACTAATATACAAAAATGGTATATTTTAGGGTGCTTTCTCTGAACTCTTTCAAAAGTATTGTGCTGCTTTACCATTATGTTTTCACAACAGACCTGTACATTAATTGCTTTACTATCCACATTTTATAGTTAAACAAAAAGATCTTAAATTACAGTGAAATTAAATAGTTTGGACAATCTTACATTGTTATGAAAATAAGATTATTAAGATTTGTCTGATGTTCCTAATCTAGAAAAGTAAACCACTTATTCTAGCAGTCAGAACATTTACGGATATCACTTAAGTAATTCTCACACAGAAAGATTCTCTTCTGCATGTTGAAGAGACTAAATTATGTAGAACAACAACAAATTCCATATTTTTCTACTGTACCTTTTTACTGGAGCATAAGAGTAACTGGCTGTGTGTCTCAGTAGCTGCACTTGGGGGGGACACAAGATGTAATACCTGTGTTTACCCGCTTGGTCTGTTGAAATGCAAGGTGTGTGTAGCTATGCAAAAGTGTCAAGTTTGGGACTTTTTACACATTTATTATTTGTCTAACAGGTTATACAAATAATAAATTATTTACATTTATTATTTGTATAACAGGTTTTGCCTACATTTACTTGGCATTATGGGCCTAATATAAATCCACATCATTCTTCTGTTATGTAAACATATACTTTACCATAATGGAATATGAGGTTATTTTGATTTTTCTGGTAGAAGTGGCCTCCCAATTCAGTATAGTGGCATATGAAAACCAGATTAGCAAGTTTTGAAGGAAGACAAAAATGAATCATCAGATCACTCATGCATGGAAGATGAAGATGATAATGTCTTTGAGGCTGACCACATGAGCAAGAGTTCCTGTGACAGTGAAATGGAGCAAGAATCAATTCATACAGATACAGGGAATGCAGACCTTGATTTAGATGATGAAGAAAACAGTGATGTGAGTACATACTGAACTACTCCAAGTGGTCCAAAATAGTCATGCAACCAAATGGAATGGCAATGTTAGAACTAAGTACAAAAATATACTGAAGGTCTTAGCAAGGGTGAAACCTATCAGATGAAATGCCAGCACTGCAATTCAGTGTTGGAAACTCTAACAGATGAGATGCTATAGGATGTTGTGAAATACACAAATGCTAAAATACAAATAAAATGTTCCGTATGTACTGATAGCCGTACTTTAAAAATGTATGCATTATTAAACCTCAGGTTATTAAACCTTAAAGCATTTATAGGTCTGCTGCACTTAGTGGGGCTTTCTCATCCTCATTGCTGGAATGTAGAAGATTTATGGAAAAGTGATGAGTTTGGACTGAAGGAATACAGAATAATGGTGACATTGAAGGAAATTTTGTTTCCTGCAAAATTGTTCAATGACAAAAGCACCCACCCAAAAAGAAAAAGAACTGATAATCTGGTTGCTATCCACTCACTGTTGGAGAGATTTGTGGTTTATTGTCAGACAATTTGCACACTGTCTGAATATAGGACTATTGATGAACATCTTGCACATTTTATGGTCACTGTAGCTTCAGGCTGAATACTCTCAAAAAACCTTCAGAAAATGGCATAATCATTTATGCCCTTGTATATGCAGAGCCTTATTATGCTTTCAATTTAGAAGCTTACCCTGGAACTCAATCACCAGGTCCTTATTCATGTAGTAATAAATTGAATGATGTTTGGAACAGACTTGTTGCTCCCAACTCACAAGCTAATCAGAATATGACATCCAACAATTAGCTTACCAGTTTTCAATTGATGTTGCATTTGCAAGTTGACTAGTGCAGGAACTGTACACAGGAACAAAGCAGAAATTGCAAATGAAAGGTTGAAATTTCAAAACAGAGAATTGTATAGTACAATCTCTGGATTTCAGAAAGAAATAATAGTGGTCTCATGTACGGCGAAGAAAAACAAACTGGTACTGCTGATGTCAGCATTGCACTGTGATGGAAATATTGATAGGGAAACCTCAACAAAACAGAAGGCTGAGGTAGTAACTTTTTACAACACCAAAAGAAGAGTAGATGTTATTGATGAGTTATACAGCAGCTATGATGTCACTTGAAACACAAAGCACTGGTCAATGGTTGTGTTTTACTCAGTCCTAAACATGGGTGGCATAGTTTGATAGGTTACAAAGAAAATAACAAGTGCAAAACATCACAGAGATTTTCTTAGAGGATTTATACTAGAACTGATAAATGATCATCTATAGAAGAGAAAAAAGAAATTTTTCTGGCCAGGGTTCTACACACACAATTGAGGATTACAGTGGTGAACTGATGGGTGAGCAGGCAGGTGCTGCATCCCAAAGACCTACTATGACAACAAGAAAATAAAAAACTTGTCAACTGTGCTCTACAAGAAAGGACAGGAGAACAAAACACATGTGCTATCAGTGTAAGTTGTACGTGTGGATGGAACATGCAGTTGTCACCTGTGAAGACTACCTTGGTGTGATAGTTGAAGGAAAGGTGATTGCTGTGGAAGACTTTCATTTGTATTTACATTGAAGTTCATATAGACTTTTATTTCTGATGTTATCTTTTAGGTTAAAAACAAAAAAGAACAACAGAAATAAATTCCTGTATGAACCACAATGAAAATGCCAATAGATGATACAAACAAGAATCTTTACTTCAATTATCACACCTATGTATGAAACAACTGATATGAAAATATTGATGTTTATTCTAAGCATTCATTACATATTTGACATTTTACTGATACCATATTTTTCTTCTCACGTTGTATAATGTAGGAAGCTCCTGACAAAACACAAAGATGAGAGAGGTGATAAAAGTGGCATACCACATAGAACAGGAAAGCTAAACACATGTGCTGTCAGTGTGAGTGAGATGTGTGCATGGAACATGCAGTTGGTCATATGTGAAGGTTGCCTTGCGTGTAACAATTGAAACAAAAATTATTTTGTTGTAGAGTTCTATTGGTATTTTCATTATAGTTCTTATGGAAATTTATTTCTGATGTTATCTTTTAGGTTTTGTA